TACCCTCAAGGGCATCTGCGCTGCAGTACAACCATCCTCCTCCTCCTCCTCCTCCTCCTCCTCCACCTCCTTCTCAGCCTGCTCCGCCTCATCCTCCTCCTCCTCCTCAGCCTGCTCCGCCTCATCCTCCTCCTCCTCCTCCTCCTTCTTCTCCTCCTCCTCCTCCTCCTCCTCCTCCTCCTCCTCCTCCTCCTCCTCCTCCTCCTCTTCCGCCATTTCGTACTCGTCCCTTCTCCGTCCTTCCCCCAACTTCTCTCCCCTCACCCTCCCCCTCCCCCTCCCCCCCTCCTCCTCCTCCTCCTCCTCCTCCTCCTCCTCCTCCTCCTCCTCCTCCTCCTCCTCCCTCCTCCTCCTCCTCCTCCTCCTCCTCCTGTTCAACCTCCTCCTCTTCATCATCCTCCTCATCCTCCTCGGCCTCCTCCTCCTACTCCTCCTCCTCCAATTCCTCCTCCATGATCTCCCTCGTGGGGTATGACGGCTTCCCCGACGCCTTATTCCATTGCATGCTCCTCCACATCCCTGATCAGGGCAACTCGACTGGGCATCGTTTCTGGATGGGCTTGTGGGGTCACGTGAAGCGTCTAGAATTTCGAAGTGCATGCAGTCGTGGCGACGAGGGCACCCCAGGAGGCCCCCAAAAAGACGAAAACGAGGCAAGGGTACAGGTATCGGCACCTTCCTAGACATGCGATGTCCTGATGTGTTCCATGCGCGGCCCTTGAAGTCCCGACTCTTCCCCTGGGGCTGGTTTCCCATCACGATATCATGGCTTGACGGCCCCGGGGCCCTGGAAGGACTCCCAGAGGCAGAACACCGAGACAACCTCTGTCCAGTGTTTGCTGTCAACCGCTGCACGTCTGGGCGTTCCTCCTCGAAGGCTGCAGGCCTCCCGAATTGGGTCCGAGCAAACAGGGTCGGAGGATCGCGCCGAGTCGCCGATGCATCGGCGACGTCGGCGATGCAGCGGCGACGTCCGCGTGGAGAAGACGGGCTCCACATCGAGCCGCATCGCCGATGCGTCGGCGATGCTCCGCAATCCTCCGAGCCCATCTACTCCGATCGCATCTGGGAGGCCTAGAAAGGGTCGCAGGCGGGCGGCAGGACAAAGCAAACGACGCGAAGACGAGGAGGAGGAGAGGAAGAAGACGGAGAAGAAGGAACAACATGAGGTTGTGGTGGCAGTCGGGCACAAGGATCATCTATGATCCTGGGCCGAGGGTTCACAGCCCCCACGCCAGATGGGATGGGACGGAGGACGACGTCGACGACGACGACGACGACGACGACGACGACGACGACGACGACACGACGCCGACGCCGACGCCGACGCCGACGCCGACGCCGACGCCGACGCCGCCGCCGCCGACGACGACGACGGAAGACGGCGACGACGACAACGACGACGACGACGACAAAGACGACGACGACGACGACGACGACGACGACGACGACGACGACGACAAAGTCGACGACGACGACGACGACAACGACAACGACGAACCACACCCACAGGGGGAGTGGGAAGCACTGGCACCCTCCACCACGCCACGACCACAGGGCCACGACCACAGGGGGGGGCCGGGGCAGCGATCTCAGCGGCGATGGGGGGGGCTCGATCCCATATGCTTTTGGAGGGGGAAACCCTGAATCCTATGTATAGCACTCGTGTCAGAGAAAGCTTGACTCGAGCTCCTCACCAGGTTCGCGGGACCCCCGAAGTTTTAGTAGAGGATCCAAGCCCGGCACAAACAGAAACTTTCGGCGCTCCGCGCGGATCTCTTGGATCGGCGCTGGACCCCCCTCCCTGGTGAGCGGAGCGCGCCAGGGACGGCGCCAGAGGCGCCGCCAGAGGGCCCCAGCGCCGATTTCGAAAACTTGTCTTATTCGGCGTTTCGACATCGGGCGCAAGGCGGAAGGGTGGGAGAGGGGGGGGGTCTAGCTCCAGACCTCTGCTTAATGCGTCTGTTTGCAATCGTGCGTCCTGCGGGGGAGACCCCACCTGCCCGAAACAGGCGCCCCCAAAACCACCAAGATCTATACTCCATAGGGAAGGGGGGGAGGGAGCGCGAGGGCCCGCTCCGATCGGCAAAACCGGGAATGATAAAACGATGACATCCGCGACGGAACTTCGAAAGCATGTGCATGCCAATGTTTTCCCCAACCAGTGCTTGCACTGAAGGGGTCCTAGCGGAAGTTGAAAGATTTGGCGCAAATTTCCCGCCGATTTTGGTAGCAGGCTGGGTTCCCGGGTTCCCGGTTCCGGGTTCCCGGTTCTTGGTTCCGGGCCGATTTCGGTGGGCTCTGGGCTCCAGGGGTCCCAGGTTCCCGGTCGACCTCCTCAGCGAAGACCATCTACTGATTGGGGTTTTCTCCGGTGCAAGTCTTTTCGATTCAGACGCTGCACGGCTGGGTTCCAAGGGTCCCGGATTCCCGGTCGACCTCCTCAGCGAAGACCATCTACTGATTGGGGTTTTCCCTGGTGCATTTCTTCGATTCAGACGCCGCACGACTGGGTTCCAGGTCGTCGCCGTCGGCCGCCGGGCTCGGCGCCGCCGCCCTCGACAGGCGCGGGAGCGTCGTCGTCGCCGTCGTCGTCGCCGCCGCCGCGCTCCCCCGCGCGCGGGGTGTGGGGGAGAGGGGGGAGGGGGAGGAGTGAGCCGGAGGATCGGGAGAGGGTCGTCGCTATCTTCTTCGGTTTTAAGATAGTATTATTGATATTCTTATCAATATCATTATTATTACTAGTATGGTTACGATTATTATGAGTATTGTTACTATTAGTATTAGCAATATGATTAGTAGTGCTATTATTGTTACTACTGAGATGGTTATTAGTATTCTCGTATCATTATGTTCATTACTATTAATCCCACCGGCCCTCTGGGCGCAGGTGGTCTAACGATATCTTTCCTCTCTCTTCCAAAAACCCCTCTTCCCCTTGGGGGAAGGGTTTACCCGGCGGCGGCGGCGGAGGCGGCGGCGGCGGCGGCGGACTTGCCCCCAGTAGCTGCCCGTCCAAAGACGACTGCCGAATATGCTGCGGCTCGGGCCAGGCTCGGGTGCTACGTATGTGTTGGGAAGGCGGGTGGGAGTGAGCGAGACGGCTTGCGGGCGGGGAGGGCGTCTTGACCCCTCCCCCTACCCCCTCACCTGGACCTGGACGGGGAGGGGACGGAGGTGTCAGAGCGCCCAAGATGGCCCAAGATGGCTCCAAGAGGGCCTCCGATGCTCCAGGATGGCCTCCAAGATGCCTCAAGATATCGCAAGATCGCTCGAGATGGGTTCCAACGTGCCTCAAAGAGGCCCCAAGAGGGCCACAAGACGGTTCCAGGCGCTTTGGGCGATCCCCCGAGAAGCCCAAATCCTTCAAGAACCTAAGGAAAAGCACTCATGGTTGCCTACTGGTCTTTTCGCTTCCGATGCGCTTTTGAGGCCTTAAGATGGCCCTAAGATGGCCCAGGAGAGCTCCAAGAAGGGCCCAAGGGGCCCCCAAGACTGCCCAAAGAGCATCCAATATCGCCCCAAGTGGGCCCCAAGAGCGCCCCAAGAGGCTATTTCGATGGCCCCGGAGGGGGGAGGCAAATCGAGGACCCCCCCTCGTTTGATCGATTGTCTCCAAGATGGCCCCAGGAGGCGCCCCATAGTTCCCAAGAGGGCCCAAAGAGAGTCCTGCGAGAGAGCCCCAAGAGGGCCCCAAGACGCCCCAAAAGAGCACCAAGAGGACACCAAGACCCCCAAAGAGCCGCAAGAGGGCCCCGAGATGACCCAAAAGAGCTCCTCGAGGACCCCAAGATCCCCCAACACAGCCCCGTAGCTCCAAGGAGGCCTCCGATGCTCCAAGAAGGTCTCCAAGATGGCTCAACACCCTCCCTCCTCTCCTCTCCTTGCACGCTCTGCTTCACTATATGTGTATCGTCGTCCCTGTTCCCGTCAGCTCTCATGGGCAGGGCTTCTGAATGGGCTGGTGGGGATTCGCAAAGCGTACACTACATTAGTGCTGGCGCTATTACGATTGCATGTCTTAGTACTCGTATTACTATTGATGGTAATAGTACTATAGGTGAGAATGCGAGTTTCGAGTAACAGTATTATGATTAATAGTATGATCAATATTGTTAGTGTCATCATTACTACTTACGCAGGCCGAAAGATTTTCCTCTTGAGCCCCAAACGTCGGAGACGACGCGCCGTTCAGTTGCGCGGGTGCATGTACCCCCTTCTCGTGCCTCCTCACTCCTCCTTCCCCTCTCCGTCCTGGGAAGCCCCCCCCTCCCCCGTAGAGTCATAGCTTTGACCAGCAGATCCACAGTTCCATGGATAGCCTGATGCTTCAAGTGCGGTGCCCCGCGGATCCCATTTCCCCTGGGTCCGGGATGTGAAACATTGATTATATATTTCTTCCCGGAAAATAAATGGATCCATTGGCTCTTCACACACGGGAAATCGGATCCGCGCAAGACGGAAATAGGATCCACGAGAGAGTCGCACACCCGAAAAGGGATCCAATTGGATCCATCGGCGCTCTCACATCTTTAGTCCAAGAGGAGAGAACTTTCAGCCTGGGGATGTATTAAGACTACTAATATCATGAGAGTGCTACTATTACGACAAGTATTAGTCTTCTTCGTGTTCTTCTCCTTCTTTCGGGGAGACGTAAGACTCGGGTACGGGGGACTCGGGTTGGCCTGACGGGGGGCGCCGCAAAAATGACGAGACCCAATCTGAAATTTGATGCGGGCTCCCGCTGCAGACGTCCCACGAAAACGGGACCGCCAAAACCCAGGACGCGCCCGTCAAAAAAAAGTCGGCCAACCCGAGTTCCGGTTTACTCGAGTCTTACGTTTCCCCGATTCTTCAAATTATTAGTATTATTACTATTATTATTCTTCTTTTAATTTTTATCATTATTATCCTTCTTCGTGCTCTTCTGAGTATTATTATTATTCTTCTTCTTCTTCTTCTTCTTCTTCTTCTTCTTCTTCTTCTTCTTCTTTGGGCTCCAGAGCCGCCCGCTGGCGTTGGCGCCCCGCACCTGGCTGGCCAGCTCGTGGCCCGCCGAGCGCAGGGGCTGCGACCCCGCGCTCCGCTCGGCCGGCGCACGGCCTGCCGCGCCGCCGGGGAGGGCCGCGGGGCGGCACAGGGCCCCGACTCCTCCTCCTCCTCCTCCTCCTCCTCCTCCTCCTCCTCCTCCTCCTCCTCCTCATCATCATCATCATCATCATCATCATCATCATCATCATCATCATCATCATCATCATCATCATCACAATCACCATGACCACCACCACCACCACCACCACCACAATCATCAGCATCATTCCCAAGGGAAGCGGCGCAGGGGCGCCTCGACTCCCGGGGCGGCACAGTGCCCCGACGAGCGGCGCAGTGCAGATGCCGATGCCGATGCCGCTGCCGATGCCGCCGCCGCCGCCGCCGCTGTCGTCGTCGTCGCGGTCGTCGTCGTCGTCGTCGTCGTCGTCGCGGTCGTCGTCGTCGTCGTCGTCGTCGTCGTCGTCGTCGTCGTCGTCGTCGTCGACGTCGTCGTCGTCGTCGTCGAAGAAGAAGAAGGCTGAGGTTCCAGGATCGAGCCTCGAGGATCGAGGCTGTTGGACGTCCTCGAACCTTTCTGTGCCCCCTGGGGCGCCCTCGCCGCCGGCGAGATTCTTCTTGAAAATCTGGCCAGTACCAATCTATCGACACGTCCAGGGGTTCGTCGTCGTCGTCGGTACAGTGGGTTCGTGTCGTGTCGCCGCGGCGACAACCTCAGCGCGGCATTCAAGGATGAACGCCGCCAGTGGCCCAGAATCAGCCGGTGTGGGACGATCTAGGGATCGGAAAGCCGCCGATCGTTCAAGGTTGAACGATCCGAGCGGTGTCCGAAGCCAACTCTGGGGTCGTCGTCACGACACGAACCTGCCGTACCGACTCCGATGCCGATGCCCCTCCCTCGTTCTCGCCGTTGCTGCGCCTCCACGGCTGGGTTCGCCTCGAGCTCCTGCCAGAGAGCGCACCCCAGGGGGCCCCAGGGCAGGTCTACGGAGTGGCGGTGTCGGTCTGGGGGCCCCCCGAGGCCAGGGGCGGCCTAACCGAACCCCTAGCAAAGCATCCCCTGCTGTGACGTGGCCCTCGACTGGCCCCAGGGCGTAGGTGTGCGGCCGGAGGGGAGCGTGAAAGGCGAGGGTGACGTCACGGAAGGGGACGGCCTGCCAGGGGTCGGTTAGGCCGCGCCCGACAAGGCGGCGCGGTGCCCACACCGTGTGGTGAGCCACTGGGGATTCGGGGTCGCCGCACGGCTCCGGGACTGGGCCCAGTCTCCGTGGACGTCTCGGGGCGACCGGGGCCTCTCCGGGGTCCCGAGGCCGTGCGGTGACGGACCGCGCGGTGAGGTCGTCGGGGATCCCAAGACCAACGCACGGTCTGTCGCCGCACCGTCTTGGGGCCACGGCGAGGTCGGGGCCCCTGTCCACGGCCTGGTGCAGCCAGCAGCGAATCGCGCAGTCGCATCGGATCAGACCGAGCGTCAGCTCAGGCCGCGTCGGCATACGGGGTCAACATCGAAGCCCATCGGCTGCGCCAGGAGCCACAGCGCCATGCAGGATGGGGCCGCATCGGACCGCCAGAGCAGCGGCATCGGATCGGGTCGGGCCGAGCAGAATCGATGTCGAATTGGATACATCGGTCTGAAGTGGACCCTGCCCCGGTGGCCAACTGCTCACCATCGATCGGACTGAAACAGGCCTCGGAACAAATTAGCGAACACATGCCACATTCATCCGTCAACGCCTCCCCCTCCCCCCAATGTTCAAAGTTGGCGGTGGGTCTGATGAGATGCACTTCGACCGCAGTCTATCCCGCGCGTGCCAACATTGAGTTTGGGGGGGAGGGGGAGTGTTCAGTCAGTGTTTCCCTCTACCGAATGGACCATGCCCAGGAAGCCATCTGCTCACCCCAGCATGGGTTCCTGGGAGCCCTTCGGGTCCGTGAGCGGGCCCACGGGAGGCCGAAAACTGCGCACGAACTCCTGCTAACCTCGACCCTCGATGCTCCTCCTCGACGGCGACGACAACAAAGGCGACGACGACGACGACAAAGACGACAAAGACGAGACGACAAAGACAAGACGACAAACACGACGACGCCCAACACCATCACCACCACGACGACGACGACGACGACGACGACGACGACGACGACGACGACGACGGCGGCGGCGGCGGCGGCGGCGGCGGCGGTGGCGGCGGTGGCGACGGCAACGACGACGGCGACGACGACAACGACGGCGGCGGGCCTGGCGGGCCCGGCGGCGGCGCTGGCCCGCCGCCCCCGCTCTGCGGCAGGAGCAGGCGGGGCGGCGTGCCCACCAGCAGCACTCGCCTGGAGCGCTCGTGCGGAGGGGGGGGGGGCCGGGGAGGGGAGGGGAGGGACAGGCGGCAGCAGGGGAGCAGCACGGACAGAGGGGTGAAGCGACAGTGGGGAGGAGGAGGGGGAGGAGGAGGAAGGAGGAGGAGAGGAGGAGGAAGAGGAGGAGGAGGAGGAGGAGGAGGAGGGGGAGGAGGAGGAGGGGGAGGAGGGGTTCCATCTCGGCGCTGATTGGATATGCCGCCCGTGACTTGCGACGAGCGCCTTCCACGCTGATGGGCAGCCCTCAGATCCAGTTCGTCCAGGGCGCGGGACACAAGATCGCGACCGAGCACGTGGGCGATCAGGAACAGATCGAGACAGCGAAAAACATCAATCACGCGTTCAACGAGGCGCTGGGGGAACTCTCCCTTCCTGATGGCAGAGACCTCGATGTCGGTCAGAGTGATAAGTGCGAGAGTCGACGAGGGAACGGAGAGCACGGCATACGCGAAGATGATGAGGAAGATCGGCTCGAAAGAGGGCACCCCGCAGGAGGACAGAGGATGGCTCAAGAGCATCAGGATGTCTCGCATGAGCTCGTTGCGCCTCCGGTATGAGCGCAAAGGAATCGGAGAAGAGTCGGAGGAGCTCCAGGGGGACCTCAGCAAGATGCAGGAAACGCCTGTCACAGCTCGAGAAGTTCGCACCCTCATCTGAGGATGCTGGACCACGCGGGCGGAATCAGAAGCCAGGGCCAGCCGCCGCGAGGGAGCTGGATTGTGGGACACTGATTGGTCCCGCCACCAAGGCCGAAGCAGCAGAAGTGGCAGCTGAGGCAGAGGCTCGCGTCAGTCGTGGAGAGGGGTCGTTTGCCCCCTCTTGCTGCGCTCGCGCCGCTGCCCAGGCTCTGAGGCAAAAGTTGTTGACGACCTACCAGACCACCCCAACCCAACCCGAAGACCCAAATCTCGGGTTGGGGGGGTACTGGCTTCATATGTGCTTTTGTCAATGCTCCCCGATTCTCCCCACCCTGGAAGCAAGCAAGCAAGCAAGAGCCAGGCGCATCGACCTCGCATCGGCAGAAAAGGTACCGTGCAGACGTGTACTGGTTGCGTGGCGAAAACAAGCGAGGCCTGCCGAGTTTCCCATGCGGCGCGCCCACAAACAACGACAACAGCGAGAACGACAGCGACGACGACAAGCACGGAGAGAGGAAAAGGGAGGAAGACGAAGCGAAAGGCCGGGAGGGAAGCAGGGGAGGGGGAGGAGAGGAAACCGAACAAATCAACGAAGGTGCGCCGCTGGATCTCCCCAAGGGGGGGGGGGGCAGAGGGGGGGGGGGTTCGGACCCCCCCCCCTTTCCCCGATCGGTCGTCGGGGACCCCCCCCCCCCCCCCCCCTTTCCATGATCCGTCGGGGAACCCCCCTCCCCCCCCCCCTTTCCCCGATCCGTCGTCGGGGGACCCCCCCCCCCTTTCAAAAAGGGGGGGGTCCGAACCCCCCCCCCTCCCCCCCTTTCGCCACGCCGCCCCCTGACTCCGGAACCCGACCCCCGCCATCCCTACCTCTAGTCCTCACCCTAACCCAAACCCCTAACCCTAACCCCAACCACTAACCCCAGCCCCAAAGAGTACTCACTACTCACTACTCACTACCCACTACTGACACCTTTCGCTACTCACTTCTCACTACCCCCTACTCACTAATCACGACTCACTACTCACTATCCACTACTCACTACCAACCACCCACTACTCGCTACTTACTGCTCCCTACTCACCACTCCCTCCTCCCTGCTCACTACTCACTACTCACTCCTCACTACCACCTACTCAATACTCACTACCCACTAAGCACTACTCACTACTCACTAATCACTACTCATGACCCACTACCCCCTGATCCACTACTCACTACTCACTACTCATTGCCCACAAATCACTACTCACGACCCACTACTCGCTACTCCCTACTTCCTAGACAATACTGACTACACAGTGCTCAGTACCCACTACCCGCTACTCCCATACTCGCTACTCAATATTCACTACTCACTCCCCGATGCTCACTACTCACTACTCACCACTCACTACTCACTACTCACTACTCACTCGTCACTACATAGTCTCTAGTCACTAGTCACAAGTCACTAGTCACTAGTCACTAGTCACTAGTCACTACGCACTGCCCACTACTCACTACCCACTAATCGCTAGTCGCTACCCACTATTCGCTACCCACATCTTACTACTCACTGCTCACTACCCCCCCTACTCCCTACTCCCTACTCACTACCCACTACTCACTACTCGCTACTCCCTACTCTTTACTCACTAACCACTACTCACTACTGACTATTCTTTACTCACTACTCACTACTCACTACGCCCTACTCGCTCTTTACTACCTATACGACCACCCTTCGGGTGATAAGGAGGTTCGGGGGGAGGAACCAACGTCTCACTCGATCGGTATCACTATCGATCTCAGTATCGATCTCACGATCGGTCTCGCTCGATCGATCTCACTCGATCGATCTCACAATCGATCTCACTCGATCTATCTCATTCGATCGATCTCACAATTGATCTCACAATCGATCTCACAATCGGTCACACAATCGATCTCACATTCGGTCTCAATATAGATCTCACTATCGATATCACAACCGCTCTCACAATCAACGTCATCATCATCATCATCATCGTCATCATCATCGTCACCAACATCATCAACATCAACATCATCACCAAAATCGTCATCATCATGAGGGCACCGTCATCATCATCATCATAAACATCATCATCAACGTCAGCATCATCATCGGGAAAGTACCATCATCATCACCATCATCATATCATCATCAACATCATCATCATCATCACCATCGGGACACAGTCATCGACATCATCATCAGCGGCATCATCAGAATCATCATCATAATCGGGACACCATCATGATCACCATCGTTCTCATCATCAACATTATCATCAACACCGTCATCATCCTCGGGGCACCATCACCATCATGACCATCGCATCATCATCATCGACATCATCATCATCAACAGCATCATCATTGGGGCACCATCATCATCATGAGCAACATCAGCATCAACATCTTCATTATGATTATTATCATCATCGGGACACCATCAGCATCACCATCATCATCATTACCATCATCATCATCAGCATCCTCATCGGGACACCATAACCATCATCAACATCATCATCATCATTATCGCCCGGACACCATTTCCATCAACATCATCATCACCAACATCATCGGAATCATCATCATCATCGGGACACCATCATCGTCATCATCATCAACATAATCATCATGAGCATCATCATCATCATCATCATCATCATCATCATCATCATCATCATCGGGACACTATCATCATCATCGCCACCATCATCAACATCATCATCATCTTCATCGGAACACCATCATCATCATCATCTCATCATCATCATCATCAACATCGTCATCATCATCTCATCATCATCATCCTCGCGGGACACCGCGGGACACCGGCGGGACACCGCGGGACACCGCGGGACACAGCGGGACACCGCGGGACACCGCGGATACCGGCGGGACACCGCGGGCCACCGGCCGCCCGGAAGGGAGTCATTTGGTCCGGCCGCGCCTCAGCCACACGGGACACCAGCGGGACACCGGCGGGACACCGCGGGCCACCGGCCGCCCGGAAGGGAGTCATTTGGTCCGGCCGCGCCTCAGCCACAGGAGATTTTCTCTCGCCCGCCCACGCAGCTTCGCCTCGCCCGCACGGCACGCACGAACACGAAACCGAAATCGATTTCCCGGTAGGAGGGCTCTCCGTTCCACTTCGATCTCACCCCCTCACCTCCGATTCACTACTCGCTACTCCCTACTCGCTACTCACTGCTCACTACCCACTGCCACTACCCACTACTCTATTCATCACTACTCACTACTCTCTACTCACCACCCACTACGCACTACGTACTACTCAGTACTCACTACTCACTACTCACTACTCACTACTCACTACTCGCTACTCACTACTCACTACTCACTACTCACTACTCGCTACTCACTACTCACTACTCACTACTCACTACTCACTACGCACTACGCACTACCCACTACTTCCTACTCCCTACTCAGTACTCACTACTCACTACTCGTTACTCACTACTCACTACTCACTACTCGCCACTCACTACTCACTTATCAGTACACACTAATCACTATTCACTTCTCACTACTCTCAACTCCCTACCCCCTACTCCCTACTTGCCACTCACTACCCAATACTCACTACCCACTACTCACTACCCAACACTCACTACTCACCACGCACTAACTCACTACTCCCTACTCACCACTCCCTACTCCCAACTCCGCACTCCCTGCACACCTTCTCTGGCGCAGAAAAGGAAAACGGAAGAGGCCCCCCCTCCCCGGCTCTCTTTCCGGCGCAAAGGCGGGGGGGGAGGGGGGTTCGACCCCCCCCCCTTTCCAGCGCCAGGGGGGGGGGGGGGCCCGACCCCCCCCCCCCCCCAGGGAGGGGGAGGGGGGCGGGAGGGCTCGGGACCCCCCCCCCCTAAGCGGGGAAGGGGGGGGGGGAGGGGGAGGGGGGGGGGGGGTTCTGGACCCCCCCCATGAGTGTATTCAGGGAGATCCACTGGCGCACTTTCCAAATCAACATATTCCAACATTGTCAAGGCGGAGGTGCGTGGACGCAGGATTATCATTGCTGTTGGGGCCTTCCCGCGCGAACGGTTATCATCGGAAACTCTGGGCGCCCCTGAATTAGAACTGCAAGTCAGATTGCGCAGTGGGCGATCTTCTGGCAGAGCAGAAATTGACTTGTAGAGCGTCCTGTCGCTCGAGCAGATCTTCACACAAGTCGCGTTCACCCGACTGCTCCAGCACGCTGCGGTTCGACACCCTTGAGACGCAGGAGCACGGGATGCGGCAAACTGTTCGAAGGCATTGCACGTGGAAAGCGTTCAGCCTATCCTTGTCGGCCTGGAGGGCCCAAACACATTCCAACTTGCAAAACAGCTTCGGCACCACAGTCGCCCGATACCACCCGTGTTCAGAAGACCTCCAATGTATACGGCTTGCTCCACAAAGGACAAAGCATCCCGGATGTGCCCCGAAGGGAGCCAATGTTCCGAACCCGCACGAGGACGATCTTCTTCCAGTTCAATTCCAGCCCATACCGCTTCCCCTCATCAATGGCCGCATCGAGCTGGCTCTGAAGCTTCTCGGCACAGCTGCTGGCGAGCACAGTGTCATCAGCGCTGAGCAATGAAAACTGGCTCCCGCACCGTCGATTGTGCACTTCACACGCGCGCATCAACGTCACAGAGCTTCACGTTTTGAATAATGGTGGAGAGATATGATGACAGTGGGCAAACCTGTGCGAGGCTGGCGGGCTGTTTGCGCACGCTTGAACCCCCAGCGGCGTCATGAAGAATGAAGTTCCGTTCGCAGTAGATGACTGCAATCATGCCCACCACGCAGTCGGGCATTCCAAACCTTCGCAGTGCCTGGCGCAAGGCATCGTGATCGATAACGTCGAACGCCTTCGCCCAGTCCATCAGAACCGCCACGACTCGGGGGGCCTTCGAGGTATGTGCCGCCTCGATCATGCGCCGGGCAATTGAAATCGCCTGCACGATTCCCCGTTTTGGTCTAAATCCGAATTGGGATGGTCTCAGTCTGATTTCGGCGACGCCCTTTTGCAGGCGCCGTTGAAGCATTCACGCAATATTTCCATAGCCCACAGGAAGTAAGGATATCGGCCCGTAGTTCTCTGGCAGGCTGCTGCCCCCCCTCTTGAACAGCAGCGCCACGCGTGCAGTTCTCCACTCCACCGACATGTGTGTTTTCCTCCCAAAAACCCGGGCATCAGCGCAGCAAGTTCCCCATTGCCTCCGGGGACCCCAACAGCATCTGCCACAGCTCTGGCGGGAGCCCGTCGATCCCAAATGCTTTTCCGACGGCAAGAGCTCGCAGGGCCGCGGCCAGCTCAATCATGAAGAACGGAGAGGTGGCAACTCGCAAAGTATTGCCCATCTTCTGGGTTCCAGTGGGTACGAGGTCAGGATACGTGACTTTCCATTGCCCCTGCTCGAAGTAGTCTGCCATCGTGTCTGCCCGCTGGTTGCTCTCCACCAGGTGCCCTGCAGCGCTGCGTCTTTGCGCTGGCTTTTTGGGAAGCCCCTTCTGGAGCCCACGCACTGCTGCCCACAGACCTCCCACCAACTTGTCTTCGAGCCAGCGCTGCTTGTCTTCCTTAACAGAGGCTCTGATACGCTTCGTCAGATATGTCTCTTTCCTTCGGCTGCCAGCGGTTCTGTGATCTCGGTCTGTCAGTAAATCCAACGTCGCTTGGCTTAATGGTCTCCGGGGTTTCCTGGCCGAAGTGTTCAGCAACTCCTCTGATGCAGACTGCATGGCAATGCGAACGTTTCTGGCATACTGGTTTCTGGCATACTGGTCCAATGACAAAGTAGACGCCGGAGCCCCCACTGCATTGCAGAAGCCTTGCTGGTAGTCCTGCTTGGCGTCGTTGTCAGGAACCCGCATCTGCTCTAGACTGCGGGGGGGGGGCATCGGGGTGGCAGCATCCAGAGATAAATGCAAGCGCAACTGCAAGAGAAAGTGTCTGATCGCCAATGGGACTGTTCTGTCCGACCTCAAGTTCTGGATCCAATGCACCGTGTCAGCATTCATCAAACAATGGTCTATTTGAGAAAAGCCCGGCTCGTCTATGGCATCCATCTTTTTCGCCTGTGGCGAATAATACGCCACCAAATTCTCGTCGGGCAGCTCGAAGACAGTGTTGGCGATCATCGTCTCCGTAGCCCGGCAAGTTTTCAAGAGAAGCTCTCTGTTCGTCCTCTCCCGGTTTTTCGGCCACCTGCACTTGAAGACGTACTTGCCGACGATGGCGTCCTCCCTGGGCGATGGTAACATTGTGAGTTACCTATTGGTTGCCGTGTGTTCGACAAGGCATCAAAGAATTCACGCCTCACTTCAAGACTATGCCGAGCATGCGGGGCGTAGCAACAAATTGCCAGAAAGGAAGAAAGACCAACCAAATAACCAGAACGAAGGGGCCCCACTGCAAGGGCCCCCCTGGAAATGGAGGGCACGTCGGGGCCTTCGGGCAGGGTCGGGGTGGTCTGGTGGGCGGTGAGCTGCAGCGCATCGCCACGCCCCCCAGGAGCACGCGACGACGCCCGTGCCAGCCCCCCTCGGAGGTGGCCCTCCGATCGGGGGCCTCTCGGGACCGCCCCCCTTGGCCTCTGCGCGCTGCCGGGGGCGGGGGCGGGGAGGTCGCTGCCCCCTCCCTGCCCCCCGGGGGGGGGGGGGGCGGGCCCCCTGGGGCCTGGGCAGGACAGCTTCCCTCGCCCAAGGGATGGTGCCGTGTGGCATCCTCGGGGGACCTGGCCTGCCCCATCGCGGCCACGTCCGCGTCGAATCCGTGCCACTCGTCGGATCCGTGTCGAATCCGTGTCGAATCCGCGTCGGATCCACGCAGGATCCGCGTCGAGTCCGCATCGAGTCCGCATTCGGGCACCAGAAGAGACATCCATTTTGGGGGACAGGCGATGCCCCCCGAAGATGCAACGCAAACAGTGGAGTCGCGCAGCCAGCAACGCCCGCGGAATCCCGGTCCCCCTGGCTGCCGTGGTATCCGTCGCCGCTGGTCGGGGCGGTGGCGCCACGGGTCAGCCGCGACGGGCGGCGCCTCGCCGATCGCGACGGCACCAAGGCAGAGCACTGTGTCGTTGATGCAGGCAGGTGCATGCGCAGTCGAGTTAGGATCTTGCGCATGAACTTGTTGCGCCTCCGAGGTATGGGTGCAGTGCAGTTCAGGAGGGTGGAGCGTCTGGGGGGGCGGTGTCTCCACCAGGAACTAGCGGCGTCGGGAACGCCTGCGACGAGTACCACCGAGGGAGAGCTCCACAGCCTACAAGGCCGCACGGGCTAGGAGGAGCAGGAGGGTGAGGATTACGAGGGCTCGAGGGCTCGGGGTACGGCGAGCGGCATCGTCGAGGGGGCAAGAAGCACGAGCCCGAGGAGGAGCAAGAGGAGGAGGAGGAGGAGGAGGAGGAGGAGCAGGAGGAGGAGGCGGAGGAGGAGGAGGAGGAGGAAGAGGAGGTTCAGGATCCCCGCAAGCCCCAACAGAGGGGAGGAGGAGGGTCGAGTGAGGCGGAGGAGGATCGGAGGGAGGACAGAGGAGCAAGGAGGGAGGAGGGAGAGCGAGAGATAAAAAAAGGGAGAAGGAAAGAGGGAGGGTGAAGGGAGGGAGGAAGGAGAAGGAAGACGGAGGAAGGATGGAAGAGGAAGAGGAAGAGGAAGAGGAGGAGGAGGAGGAGGAGGAGGAGGAGGAGGGTGGAAAAGGAAGGAAGAGAAGGAGGAGGAGGAGGAGGAGGAGGAGGAGGAGGGTGGAAAAGGAAGGAGGAGGAGGAAGGGGAGGGAGGAGGAGGAGGAGGACGAAGAGCAGCAGAAGCAGGCGTTGGAGGAAGAGCGGGAAGAGCAGAGCCAGAGCGGCTGCCTCGTGGGACTCGTGGGAGGCGGCTCCGGGCCCTCCGGGGGCGCCACCTCGCACTCATCGCTGGCTGCCGCCATGCTGCACAGATCCCAGCAGACCCCTGCATGGGCCGCCTGGGCCTCAAGAGGCATGGCGCGCGCAGGAGGAGGAAGAGGAGATGGAGGAGAAGAAGGCGGAGCAACAGCAGCATCTGCACACTCGCGTAGCAGTATTCACACTTCTTCGTTTTTTACCGTCCAGCGAAGCCCAGTGGCATCGTAGCAGTATTCACACGTTCCGCCCCCCACTTCTCCCCCCCTGCAAGCAGTAGCAGCGGCAGCAGCGGCGGCAAATGACCGGAAACGGAAAATGCTCATGCATCGGGCGCACGCTGACATTGGATATCCGGGATCCATGGACCTGGCGCGCGGACGTCAGATCCATCGATCGGGCAAAGCACCCCAGACACACGAGGCCAGTGCCGCCTCAGTTGGCCGATTCCGGAGACCCTGAAGCCAAAAACGATGCCATCTCTTGGGGGGGACGACGCTTGTTTCCGCAGGCTTCCGCCGAGCTTCTGCCGGCGGAGCCGCCGCCGCCCTTCAGCCGCCCTCCGCTGCGGAAGCGCTGGCAACTCACTCGATCCTCAAAGAGGCCTCAAAAACCGCCAGGACGGCCAAGGAGTCCTCCAAAACAGAGCAAGGGTTTCCACCAGAAGGGGGATTCCCAGAGACTCCGCCAGAGATGTCGCCAGAGATTTCGCCAGGGGGATCTGAATCGGAGATCTGAGGGAGCCCCAGCACTGCGACCAGAGATTATGGGGAGAAGTTCGCAGCATTTTTGGCCAGAATCGTTGCGGACATCAAGGACACGCACACCCGATCTAACCCAAGAGGCCCCAGCTTGCGTCCGGCGGGGCCCGACAAAACACCTAAGGGGGTCCTCAAAAGAGGACGCAGACGAGAAGCACAAGTAAACAATAGTGCGATGGAGTGCGTCTCACTCTCGACACGTTTCAGCCCAATGTGGCTTCAGGGTGGCGTCGCAAGGCTCCACGACGGCTCGGCATAGGTCGAAATAGAGAGAGGGAAAGGGACAGAGGGACAGAGAGACAGAAGGACACAGGGACAGAACGACAAAGAGACGAAGGTAGAACAACGCGACAAGAGAAAACGACGGCCCAAGAGGCGCCCAAGACAGCCCGCGAGGGCCAAACAAGACCCGAAGAGGGCCCTTCGAGGCAAAATCCGCTGATTCCGCCTGGATGTTTGACGGATTCGGGAAAAGCTTGGCGCCACCGCCTCTGCGGGCTTCCGGCCGCCCAGGGCGGGCCTCCTGAGCCCCCAGGTCGGCCCAATAGGCCCCCAGGGCGGCCCCCAGACGGCCCAAGAAGACCCCAGGGCGGCCCAACGGGCCTCCCACGGGCGGCAGAGGCCCCGAAGAGCGAGCCCAAGAGGAGGAGTCCAAACTCGCTCGTCGAGCATGCCCCACGAGACTGCACCCCGAGCCCGCCAGCAGACCCCCGAAAAGCCCCCGAAGGGCTCCCGAATGCCCAGAAATCTGCCACGAGAGGCCTCCAGAGGGCCCCAGGAGGTCACAAAAATGCATCGAAGAAGCCCCCGAGAGGCCTTCGAAGAGACCGAGAAGCCTCCCAAAGAGGCATCTGGTCCGCTGCCGCCAGAAGCCCCCGAGAGGCCTCCGAAGAGACCCCAAGAAGCCTCCCACAGAGGCGTCTGGTCCACGACCCAGTTTGGTCGCAAGAGTGCCCCGAATTGCCATCGAGGACCTCACAAACATTTCCATGTTGCCACGATCACTCCAACACATCCCAAATCGCTGCGACGACCAGACGGGCATGCTGCAACGATGACACTGCACGGGCCGGCGAAAAGAGCGACGCGATTGAATATAGAGGCCAGGAAAGAGGAGATGCGGAGGAGGGGGAGGAGGACGCGAACGACAACGCGGGCGAGAATGCCGAGCTGCTACCCATCGCAACGAATGGACGACCAATGTACGCTCGCACTCCGGAGCGCTGGGCCAGCTAGACGACCGACGCAGGCTTCCCACGCCTCCTCGGATCGCACTCCCCTTCGTCCACACACTTGGCTTCTGATCACGCCCATCTACGTCGGCCAAGCAAGGGCAGCCATCGACGAAACGCGGCACGATCGCCGTCCCCCTCCTCCTGCTCGCCCCTCCCCGCCCAAGGGTCTCCTCGAGTCTCCGGGGGCCGATGGGAGGCCTCCAGTGGTCGCCGAGGGCCCCCTGGAGGCCCCCTGAGGTCCCCGGAAGCTTTCGAAGGTCTTCTGAAGCCAAAAAACGACGCCAACACACACGCCGTATCTGCGGGCAGCACTGTGCGCGGCAACATGGCCGTGATAGTCGGTGCGACCCGCAGCAGAGTGAGCGAGAAGGAAAGACGGACCAGGAGAAGCCGCGACCAGGGCGGGCAAAAACCCAAACACGCACACGCACACACACACACGCACACACACACACACACACACACACACACACACACTTTGGCGGTATCAGTATCGTTTATCGGACCCCCATCCCCATCCCCATCCTCTTCGAGACCCCACCAATTTACCCCCCAGTTGGGGACACACCCCTCGAAACCCAAAGGGAACAACCTATCTCCCCATCTAGGGGAGTAAATCGACCAGAGGGGCCCAGGCCACGCCGCTGGGGATGGGGATCGGCTATAAACGATACTCACGGCAGCGGCCTCGCACGCAGCGACGAGGCGTAGAAAGTGCACCCGTGCGAAGCCGTGCGCGCGACGGCCGGGCCCTCCGCCCCGCTGGGGTGCCAGGGCACTGGCACGGGCAATGCGGACATGGATACGGCAGGAAGGGTGCACGCAAGACGAAGGAAGAACTCTGGGGAGATCCACAGGCACCGATGCCGCTGCTCCCCGGACCTCTCCCAGGGGCGCGCTCCGACCAGGATCTCGGGGCGAATGCGACGGTGGCGACGAGGGCCTCCGCGAGGAGGCCCAAGGAGGGGAAAGCGAGGAAAGGGTAGAGGTACGGGTACCTTTTCCTCCTTCGTTAAGGCCCAGTAAGACGACCGGCGTGCTGACCCCCCCCCCTTCGCGAAAAGAGGTGCGTCGCGCACTCGTCGCCCGTGCGCCGCCCGTGCGCCGGCCGCCGAAAAGGCCAGCCGTCCTCTCGAACGTGCACGTCGCCCTCGCAAGGGGGCAATTTGGTGAGTGCGTCGCCAGCGCGGCGGACACCCACGGGGCGTGGCAGCCGGCAGCATGGAGAGCGGAGAGCGCCACAGGGCCGTCTGGGCGTGGAGAGCGCGGAGGGCCACGCACAGTCGCGGGGCTGCCCGCACGGCGGCAGGAGGTGAGCGAGCACCGTGTCGGTTGGCCGTGGGCGCGAGAAGAGAGTGAGGCGGCCAGGCGGGATGATGAGGATGATGATGATGAGGATGATGATGATGAGGATGAGGATGAGGATTTTTCCTCGACGTTAGGACCAACATCTGATATAAAGATATGGCGTACTATGAAACCAGACTTCAAAGATCCGTCGCAGAGAGCCAAATGTCTCGCGTTGCCCCGCGTGGGCCGCGCTGCCAGGGTGCTACGCAGAGGGGCCTCCTGCGCAGCGCATGCCTAGCAACGTGCAATGCTAGCTGAAAAGATGCTCGGCCGCTTCGTCTTCGGCGATTGTATCGAACTCAGGTGGGGCCTCCACCCCGAATAGCTCCTGCGATGGCACGGCAGGAGGGTGGGGTGGAGGCACGACGGAGGAGGGGGGGCACATGACCGTGACCGTGCTGATGCTGGCAGGGAGGTCTTCGCCTCGAACTAAATTGACACGGCGCTGAATCGCCTCCTCTCCGCTGATGCCTGCATTGCGCCATGCAGGCTCACTCTGGCAAAAAGATGGGCTCACTGCTCGAGGGTCTCCAGCCAGTGGCCGACCTCTTCCTCGAGCCAGCCCGCTGGGGCCACGCCTCTGCGGTGGACCGCTTGGCCCTCGGCCTCGAGGGCGCGGCTGATCAAGACTCGGCCCTCCCACATGGGCGCGCCGATCACCAGCTTCGTCTTGGTGTCGTCGTAGCACTTCTCCAGGCGCACGAAGGAGATGACGTCGAGGAGATCCTCCTTGCTGATCTCGGCCTCCGCCTCGATGTCCTCGGGCTCCGCTCGGAGCAGGTAGTTGCGAATGGCCCCCATTCATGGACCCGCCCACGTCGCACTTGTGCAATCCTCCCAAGGCCGCAAGCGCGAGGGACGGGGCTGGAGATCCTATCTCCTGCAGGCGTTTCTTGTCCTCTGGGGTGCCGCTCTTCCTGAGGGAGTCCAAGGTGTGCTTGTAGCCCTCGAGCTCCTGCGTGATGGCTATGATCACTGGATGCTCGTTGCTCATCGTGTAGGTGTCCGTGTTGATGCTGCTGTTCAGCCTGGTCTTGTGCGTCGTCTGGAGCAGCAGCTTCAGGGTCGACCGAAGCAAGTCCAGCAGGTTCTTGTCCTTGCTGCTCCAGGCCTTGGGGTTGTGAGTGCCGCGGCGCCCGCGGCGCCCTCCACGGCGGGCTGGGCGTCGGCTGGGCTGGTCGGTCTTCATATCCTTCTCGCCGTTGTCTCCCTCGTCCACCTCGATGGGCGTGGCTGCTGGCGCGGCTGCTCCCCCTTCCTCGGCTGGTGTTCGCGGTGATCGAGATCGCCTCTGCGGCGGCAGCGGCGGGCCTGGTGGGCGCGCAGCCGTTGTCGCCTTCTGACCTGCCGCGGCACTGGAGGCGGCGCCAGAGCCCTTCGAGCCCTGGGAGGAGTCCAGCGGGAGTCGCCACGACGCTCTCTGCTTGGGCGTCATCCCCTGGTCCAGGAGGTAGTGCAGGAAGAGTAGGCGTAGAGGAAACAGTAGCCACTCGAGGTGTCCCTTGAGGTGTTGCATGTACTTCTGCTGCTGAACGCTGTGCTGCTCGTAGCCGTCGAAGTGGTCGGTGTCTCGCTCTGATGCGAAGGTCGCTGTCCACGATGTGTTCCACCGACTGACGAATGGCAGCGCGTGCACCAGGGGTGTCCTCTATGGCAGGCGAGGAGCGGCAGCTGGATGGCGCGGGGCGCGGCGGGTGAGCACTCGGAGTGGCCGGGCGCATGGTAAGCCTTCTGATGGCAGGCTTGAGCATGGAACCCGATGGCGACGGTGGAACATGTCCTAGGACGTGAACTCGGAGTTGTTGCTGATCATGGTATTCATGTTGGCATGCATGGTCCAAAGCGTAGTCTTGTCAAGGACATGTGGTACGTGTGGCTGGGGCCCAGGGGTATACCTGATGCGTAAGATCTGGAATGCATCTACCTGCTTGCCATGCTCGTCGTAAATGTCTAACTGCGTGATCTTGATTTGGGAGTGTAGTTTGGCACACAATACATTTGTTGTCGATCTGTAACGTAGTCAATGCCGCTGGCATACCGTGTCCTAGGCTCTTAGATTTGGTTTGATGTGTGGCGAGCTGTTTGAGCGTCCCGAACCGTTTCTGGCACCACTCGATGTTGCACACGAAGGGGCGGTTCGTCTCGTCATCGGCGTCCGTCTCGTCGCAAGTTGACGCCGAGGGGAGAGAGGAGGTGATCACGCTGGCCTCGGGGGGAGCCCACTGAGTCGTCCAATAGGAAGCCCTGAGAGCCTGAACGTCGCAGCTAAGAAAGGCCTCTCGAACCCACTCGTCATCCCACAGGTTTTTTACAACTCGAGGTTGCCACGCTTCCTGAAAGCTCTCGCCGATCGTGTGAGACGATCGGCACAGCAAATCGTCCGCGAGCTGTGTGGCCCACGGGTGCACGTTCGGGCCTGCGGAGATCTCACCCTGCGAATTGAGGGCGCCAGCGCTGACGGGGCGGTTGCTTATGGCCGCCTGCTGCTCGAACTTGCATCCTCCAAAAAAAAGAAGCGAGAAAGTGGCCATGATGAGCGTGCGATCGGATGATGCTCTGCCACCAACTGAGCCTGCGCACGAGTAGTTCGATGGCAGTCGGTGCAACTTGCCATTCAAGAAAAACTTGGCGGGTGGACAGGGATCGATGATTGTTGTACTCATCCTCCTTATGTGCCGCTCCTCTCATCATTGATCGTAGTTTACGGGCCAGCGAACTGTCGAGTCTGTGGAGCTCTCTGGGGGTCAGCACATAGCTATCGAGGCCCGACCAAACCCTCCCAGCGACATTGGACACGAACGCGAGCCGTTTAGCCTTCCAAGGTCCTCCAGAAAACCAATGGTCGCCCAGACGGCACCACCCAGTCTTTCCTGATTGGATGCGGGCCTCGACTTCACGACGATTATTGTTAGCGGCATGTCAATATCCCCCGAGATGAATCAAGTCCTGGACCGCGTTCCCAGAAATATTCCGTTCGGCCTCCTTCGTAGCCCCATGGGCGCCCAGTGAAACCAGGGTGTCCTGTTTACTGATGTTCCCCAGTGAAAGGACAGTGTACCTGGAACGGGTTTCCCTGGACCTGGGCCATCTCCTGGGGCCACTGCATAACTAATGGATAAAATGATGTCATGAAAAGTTCAGGCTCGTTTGAGTCGCCCATCCACCCTCCTGTCCCTGGTCGAAGAGCCATGATGGCATCAGACGCCTGCAGAAATACCACAGCCTCGTGTCGGTGCTGCTCAAGGAGGGGATGAAAATGCTCGTCGTCGCATCGGAGTGTGTGGGCTGCAACCAGTCGCTCGTGGGAGCCTGTCGCGAATGCGTTCCGCATGCCGTACGACTTAGCAAGAAAAGACATTCTGGCTGATCTCATCTTCCATATCGAAAGCTTAGCAATAAGCATGAGCGACTCGCGGCGGCGGGAATAAATGCCTCCGTAAGCCCACGGCGGTGGGTCGAATTGAGTTCCATACTGAATGAGTCCTAACTTAAGATACAATCGCAAAAAAATGGTCGAAACAGTGAAGTAAACGCACGCCTGCATGAATAGCCTGAATCACGTTGCCAGTGGGGCTCTTTCCTTTTTTTTGCCGATGGCGACCGCCTGGCTAGTGAAGGCCTGGGCGGGCAGGGATCCACATCGTTGGACGTGGGCAAGTAGTGCGACGAAAGTCTGGATGATGGTAGAGCTGACGCCGTGATCGATCACGAGCTTCCGTCGACTGGGTTGGTAGACTCGCTCGGCGAGCGGGTCCGCGCATTGATAGTCTGCAGTGTCATGTCCCATCCCTGCCCGTTGAACACCAGGGCGCGTCAAATACTGCGGGGCGAGGAGCATGATGGCGAGTTCGATGGGCCACGCCCAAGGTGGATTATAGCGCCTCCGTTTTCCCTCCACAGGTCGTTTCTGCAGATGGTCGAGCTCCTCCGCTGCTGCCTCGACGTCACGGAGCTCAGGGGCGCCGATGTGCCCCCCCACTGGTTAAATGTCATTTGATTGGGCCAGTAGTCGTGGAATAGATGTCGGGTCGTCGATATACATACTGACGCAGGCAGGCGCGGCAGAAACTCCCCCTTGAACGGCTGGTTGAGTAAGGGCGTCTGCGTATTCGGCTGCAGTGGGGCGCGTGGATGGCAGTGCAAGGTATGATCGTCGTCGCGGTCCCGTCCGTCGCCCCGCTCGGACGCACGTAAGATGTGCGACTCGGGAGAGGTCGCGAGTAGCCCACGCGTCGCGGATGTCCTGGTCGAGACTGACTTTCCACCAGTGGTCCATCCAGCGTTGGTGCGCTCGTAGTCGTCGTTGGATCTCGCGCAGGGCCGCATGGTTGAAGGGCAGCCGCCGAGCTCGATGGTCGGCACGTTCTTTAAGCAAGCGGAGGCGTTCAAGTCGAGCTTGTTGGTACCATTGTGGTTGTCCTCCTTCCTTTGTGTAACACTTGCGGCCGCATTCACGAATGATATGGGCGATGAGAGCGTTGTGGCGGGTCGGAAACTGATCCATCTTGACAACTCGGATGACCTCCCTGTGTTTGCTAATCTCGGCGTAGACGTCATTGAGAAAAGCAGCACGGTGGGCGCCCGTCTGGAGCCCAGCAGCGAGGAGGCCGAAGTCCCAGCGGATGTGGCTGTTCGTGGTGTTGGCGCCTCTGACAAGCATCTTGATCTGCATGATCATGGGGACGTGGTCGGCAACATGCAGTAGGCTACGTAGCTTGGCGTGGATCTTCCAATTCAGCTTCACGTATTGCACGACCTGCATGAGATTGTCGTAGCCGGTGAAGTAGCCGACGCGTGATCTAGCTTTGTTGGGCCCGTTGTAGGCGTTGCCCACGTCAATGTGCGTGTTGATGGCTGTCAGCTGATGGGTCAGCAGCTGGTCGTGAATAAAGCGTCCGAACTCAGCCTCGTCGCTGGCGTGGTAGCTGCCGATCGCACTGTCGGTATGGAGCTGTCGCTATCGTCGTCCTAGTCCTTGGTTGAGGTCTGTGAACAGGATGGGTGTGACGCGAGTGGGAGTGTCGGCGAGTGTCTGCAATACCCAGCCCCATAGTCGTCGGCATCCTGCTTTCCAGCGTTGGTGATGACCCGCTCCGTTCGGCCTTGGTGGGAACTATGCTACAATGAGTCGAAGACGGAGCTGGCCTCGGTGAAGCTCGACGGCGCCTGCGCGGCCCCGTAGGTCGGGTTGGGGGGGGGTAGTACTTTGACAATGTCTATATTTCGGAAGTGGCGCTTAGATACTGCGATGCTGCAGCCCGCTGAGCTATTCGCGTGGGCCCCCCGACCCCAGCCGAAGTGGACCCATGTATGGTGTAGGCTGCCCTCAAGATGGTGCGGGGCGTCGGTAGTGCGTTGTCGTACCTTGGTGCCTACGTACATCATGATCTGTATAGCACGGCACGTGTCGGAGATGTGGTCGAGACGTCCTGGAACCCCCTTGAGCGAGAACGGGTTCCATCCCAATATCGTGATGGCCTTCGTCGTGGCATGGTGTGGGCGTACGTCAGGGTCAGGGGGGCGTGGGGTTGGTTAGCCGTCCCGCTATGAAGATGGGACGGAGCCCCCCCCCATTTCCAAGAATAACACTGGGGGCAGGGGGCGTCGGGGAGGGTGGGAGAAGGCCAGGCGGAGAGGCGTCGGCGGAGAAGTAGGTGCGTCGTCGGGCTGGAAATTGATGATCAGGGCGTTCGTCGCAGGGGTCCCGTTCATGTCGAAAATCAATTCCAGGTGGCAATTCAGGGTCAGCGCGCACTTGTTCCACTGGTGGCAATTCATGGTCTGCGTGGTGTAATCCTGCATGTACTGGCCCTCCGTGCCCGTGATGATGTTGAAATTGACGCGCAGCGTCCAGAAATTCAAGACCAGCGTGTTGTAATCCTCCATGTGCTGGGCCTCTACGTTCGTGATGATGTTGAAATTGATGTTCAGCGTCCAGTGGTCCTTTGCGAACTGGGTGTGGAGGTGGTGGTGTTGATGCTGGGGTCGGGGCTGGGTGGCGGCTGTAGCGTGGGACTCGTGCGCGTCGTAGTGGTCCATGTAGGTCCCGTGCTGCAGCATCGGCGTTGTCGTCTGGCTGGTGGTCAGGTGCCATGCGTTCGTCCATGTTCAGCGAGCGGGGCCTGTAGCTCAGCAGGTGCGCGGCGCCCGCGCTCTGGAGCACATCCTTGGCGGCATGGCGGTCTGCGGGGTATCGTCAAAGAGGCCCTCTGCCTTTCGGGCAAGGCGAGAGGGCGGTGACTGGAGGCCGCTGCTCCTTCGATGGCCTGAGCCTCGGCGGCCTTTGAGGATGAGGATGAGGATGAGGATAGGGATGAGGATGAGGATGATGATGATGATGAGCATCATCCTCATCATCAACAACAACCACATCATCATCACCATCACCGTCATCATCATCACCATCATCATCATCATCATCACCATCACCATCACCATCACCATCACCATCACCATCAGCATCCGCATCAGCATCAGCATCATCATCATCATCATCATCATCATCATCATCATCATCATCATCATCAGCATCAGCATCAGCATCAGCATCAGCATCATCATCAGCATCATCATCATCGCCGAAGTGGCCAAAGGCGCAGTCACAAAAGGAGGCCGAAGCTGGCGCGGGCCCAACGCCAGAAGGCGG